CAGGTGGGGCACACAAAGGTGAGCGTGCAGGTGGCGAACGACCAGTTCGACCTGGACTCTGGGGCGGGAAATGGAGCGCGGAGGCGGGCTTAGTGCCCTCCCAATTCCGCGACCCGAGGCACGCGCCTGACTGCGCGGTGCCGTCTGGAATTCACGTTTTGGATTGCATGGGCGAGGGGGGCATTCTCGTTGTCATCGCCATGCGGCTCCACCTGTCCGAGGACAGGTCGCGCCGCGGTGACCGTGACCCTGATCGTTCTTTCCCTGGCTTTTTTGTTGGCAGCCATCGGCAGCGACTTCAACGCCTTCTTCTTTCTCTTCGTCTTCGAGCTCTGAGTCGTTATTTCCTCGGGCGGCTGACTTCGCGGAACGCCTTCGTCCGCAGATCGGGGCCTTCGTCCTTCCAGAGGGCGCGGCCATCCCGTGCCAGTGCGACTGGCACATCTTACAGGCGGATGTCCCGGTGGGTGTCTACCAGCAGCAGCGTCTCCGTCGAGCGCTCGGCGTGGACCCCCCCGTGGCGCTCCCGCGCGGCCGGCTTTCCAAGCCGCCGCCGACTTCGTCCTCTTCGGACCGTCGGCTTGGCGAATTCCGGGGTGAACTGGTGATCAGTACTTGGAATGCCCAGGCTTTGTTCGCGGCCGATTCTGCACGGCGTGATCAGAGGATGCGGTACGTCCAGCAGCTGACGCGCTCCACGGACATCTCCCTCCTGACGGAGACTCACGGGGCGGCCGGGGACTTTGCACTCTGCCGAGCTTTCCCTGGCTGTTCATGCTGGTGGTCCGCCGGCCCGACTACTGGGCATGCCAGGGTGGGCATTTTCGCGCGCTCGACCTTCCTGGGGCTCTTCGACTCTCCGCCGGCATGGCCAGCGATATGGAGGGGTCGCGTTGCCGCGCTTCCGCTCAGAGGCGCAGCTTTTGCGCTGGATGCTGCGGTCGTCTATGGCCACGCGGGATCGCACCTGGCGGAGGCGGACTTGCTCGACGTTCGCCCTTCGGAGCGCTCCCGGTGCCAGTCCTTCGCGGGGCTGCGGGCATTCTTCCGCGCCCGGATCGCAGGTCGTCTCACCCCGTCTTCCAACGCCCTCGCCATGCTCGGCGGGGACTTCAACTGCGCTGCGGAGCCTAGTGGGCGACGCGCGCTGGGCGCGCAGCAGGACGCAGGCGGACGGGATCAAGGGGGGCAGCGTCATTTTCAGTCTGGGATCGGGCGGCCTTTTCAATTCGCATGAGATGCATCGGCCAGACTTCGCGCATGCTTCGGCAAACTCGCGATCCCACATCGACAGGCTGTATTGTGATCAACATGTGTCCGAGCAGCTGGACCGCCACCTATCACGCTGCGCGCCCCCGTGGAAAAAGCAACCACTCGGCGCACCGAGCGGTCGCTTTCGCCCGCCGCGCCCCGCAGCACGCGCCAGCTTTGCAGCGACCTATCCCTGAGCGTGCTCTCCAGCATCCGGATTGCGCTCGGCGCGTGCATTTGGGGAATGGGGGGCGATTGCGTCTTCAGCCAGATGCCTGAAGGCGGCGGCGCGAGTGGCGGGGCTTTACCTTGCCGGGGAGTTGTCGAAAAGCCCGCGGGCCGAGGCGCTCGACGATCGGCTCGGGACCACCATCCGATTTCTATGCTCGTTCGAGCGGGGTCTTCCAGGAGGCATCTCTTCTTGCTTGATGCGCTGCCCGTGCATGCGGGACCTGGTGGGCAGCCCGCGTGACTCCACAGGGAATGCGTCGAGCAAGTCGCAGCGCGTTCGAGAGCGCGCCCTCGACTTGGCCCGCCCCCGCGCTCTGGGCGAGTTGGGCAAGTCTCACCAGGCCCTCCGCGGCTCCGACCCCTTTCAGGCCGCGAAGGCACGGGCCCACAGCGACGTGTTCATTTTCAGACTCGGGCCAGGACGATTCGCGACAGTTCACGCGAGGAGGGGCGAGTGCAAGACGGGGGGGGCGACACCCGCGCGACGCCGGAGGGCGTGGCGGACGCTCTTCGTCAGCGCTGGGCCAAGGTATTTCGGGCGCGGGGCATTGGCGAATATGCGATGACTGCTTGACTGGACGATGATGCCGATTCGCGGCCTTTCTCGCGCCTCGCCCCGTTTCCCCCCAGAAGCTTCAGACTGCGGCAGAAACGCATCAGGCTCGCCATCCGCAGCTTGAACCGCTCTGCGCCAGGGCCGGGCGGCCTCTCCCTTCTGGCATGGAAGCGGGTGGGAGGTTTGGCCACGGAGGTGCCCTACGCGACGTTCGGGGACACTTGGGGGGGGGAGGGGGGGGGGGATTGGTGCTCGTCGGCTTCAGGAATTTGCCCCCGACAGCAACGGTAGGCCGCTGATCTTTATTCCCCGGGGCTCGCCAGAACGGACGGAGGATGGGGGGCAGTTCCACGGAGTCGCGCAGGTCAGGCCATTAAGCGCGGCGAGCCCGGACAGCAGGCCCCTCGCGAACGCCGCGCGGCTGGTCATCGAAGACGCGGTCGCCGCCCGCGTCTCCCCCACCCAAAGGGGCTTCTTGCCCGGCCGCTCCATGCTCGCAAATATTGTTGACATTGATGAGGAGATGGCGAAGCAGTGCATCCACGAATCCAGGGCATCCGCCAATTTATTCGACTTCGAGGCCGCCTTCCCGTCCTTAGAGCACAACTTCGCGTTGCGGCTTCTGCGGGTCTTCGGCCGGCCAGCCTGTCTGGCCCGCTTCGCCAGCGGCGCTGTATCAGGACAACTCCTGCGACATAGCGGTGGATGGGTCGAGGTGCCGGGGGGTCGTGCCCGCCCGCGGCGTCCGGCAAGGCTGCCCGCTGTCGCCGCTAGTATTCGCGGTCGCCTCGGATCTCTTGTTGCGCCGCGTGCAGCGCTGTGTCCCGGGCGCAGCAGTCACGGCGCGCGCTGATGACCTGGCGCTTCGTCGTGTCCAGGGCGGCCCTGAAACGGCCGTTCTTCCATTGGCTTTGCGAAGAGTGCGGCGAGATTCAGGTCTTCGCCTCAACCAGGAGAAAACAGTCTTCGCGCCTCTCTTCACGCACTCGGCGACGGAGCTCCGGGCGGAGATGGCTGCACAGGCGCCTGCTCGGGCAGCCACGGCGATTCAGGATCTGGCGAAGTATTGTTCATTGCCCCGGTGGTGATGTTCGTGGCCCAGCGCCGCCCCCCCCCTTCCACCTGCGGCCTCGTCGAGCGGCGGGCCTCCTCCCGGGCCCGGGCTATCGGACCCAGCCGGTGGTTATGGCCCGTCTTCGGGCGCTGAACTCCCCGCGCGAGCTCCAGGACATTCGCGTCGCTACTGCGGCGGCGCAGGCCCGGACCTGCCCCATGGAGGACTTGTTGCCAAGTGGACTTCGCGTGCGTACTCGGGCAGCCCGTCTGCGCGAGTGTCTGCTGATGCGCGATGGGCCCGTCTTGCTGCCTCCCGGGGTCAGGCGGCGGCTGGGCAACAACTGCTGGTTCGCCCAGGAGACTGCGGCAAACCAGGCGAACCAGATGGAGCACCGCTTAGGCTGGCCCCGGTCGCGCTCGGCCATGGCTGCCGAACTGGCTCGTCGCAAGGCGACCTGGCAGGCAACGCGAGTCTGCGAGCTCCTCGCCGAGCGCCCACTCGCCACGCTCGGCGTCTTTCTGGGCCGCCGTCTTGGCCACTGGCAAGTGGATGTTTCTTTTCCCAATGCCCGCATGCGCCGCTTTCTCAAGCACGCTGAGGTCCTCAGTCGCATGCCGGCCCCTCCCTGTGTTTTCGCGGCCGCCTTCCGCACTGCTCTGAACGGCTAGCTAACGGCCCGACGTTGCCAAGGAGTGGCGAGGTCCGTTTTCGGATGCCGCGCAGGTGCTGACAGTATACAACAGTACGCTGGGTGTGGCGCGTATCATCGGTGGAGCCACGGATACTGCACTCTCGCGAGGCCTCCGACAGCCGCTTCCTTAGGCTACTTTCTGGGGATGCGGGCTTCCGCGCCCGTGGAAAGCGCAGCCGCGTATTTCACCAGCGAGGAGGCGCAAACGCTTCGGGCGGTCAGTGACTTTGCGCTGTATAGTGCTCATCTTGCACTTCGGCATGGTGCAGTTGAACAGCGCGACGTGGAGCACGCATTCAAAACTGCCGTTCGTCAGGCTGGCAAAGCAGGGCCCCTTGAGAGCCCGTGCGCTCGCTCGCGCCGGCGGCGCCGCGAGGGTTAGCCGCCTCTCGCTCCTTCTTCCTCCTCCTTATTTTCTTTATCTCTGGGTGTTTTTGTCTTGTCGCCGTTGCGGCTGCGCTAGTTTGTAGAATGCGAGGTACAATTTATGTTCAATGCGGATTTGGCACGTTGTGTCGCGGAGATATCGCTCCGTCTCGATGAAGGCCCAGTTTCGGCCACTTAGCTGCTAAGCCTTACGGGTGACATACCAGCAAAGGAAAATAGCCACATTTTGTTGGGATCGTGTTCTCCTAAGCAGTGGCGGAAACCTGCCCCTGGTGTTGGCTCCGTCTGTGCAGTTTTCCTTTCCCTTTCCCTCCTTTTTGCTTCTCTTGCTCCCCTCCTCTTTTCCTCCTCCTTGTTCCCTCCATTCTGGCCTTCTTTTTTGTTGGGTTTACTAGTTTGGCCGTTGGAGCCACCTTGTATGGGGTTCTAGCACAATTTCCGTGCCGCCGCCCGGCCGATACGTTTTCAAAAGGGTTTCGTCTTTGCGGGATGTATCTTCATAGTTTCCTCAGAAGATAGTTTTTTCTCGTTGGGCATTCCAGCGGCCCCCGATTTGGAGGCTGCCGCCAGCTGTACTCAGCGCGAACATGCGCAGGTTATCGGCCACGCGGCGGGGACTGATATTTATTTTTTGGGACCGAGCTTTGTGACACAAATTTGTTTGGCTCTGCAGCCGAGGGCGGATGCATAGCAGGTTATGATCAGTGGAGTCCTCGTCCCATCAGTTGGGCAGCTGGCAGTTTTCATCGTTCCTGGGGGTACAAAAAAAAGTCAACAGCGGGCTCGCTGCAGAAACATGACGGCAGTGGAGTGGCAGAGCCGGCGAGGTGCACGTGTTCTCCTCGCCGGCCGAGCTCGTGGAGGCCGTGGCGAACTTGTCGGGCCGCACACACTCCATGGATCGGGGGGGGAGGAAGGAATCGTATGAACGACAGGAGGAAATGAGGTGGACGACGATGACGACGAGGAGAACGAGGAGGATGACACGAGGAGTGGGCGAAGGAGGGGGACGAAAACGAAGAGGACTGGAAGTATCATGAGTAGGACGAGGAGTACGAGGAGGGGGATACGAGCAAGGGAGGAAACAGGACGGGAGGGGGTTCGCCCCCACCCCCCCATCTCGCTGTGATCATCCTGCCCTCCCCGCTTTCTCCTCCTTCCTCTCCTTTTTACAGTTTAACAATCTGAATACTACTCTCCCTTCTGTGTCCGGAAGATACTGGGCCCTCTTCACGTGTTAATTTCTTACACCGAATTATTGTTTGTTTCCGCTACAGCGTGGGCCTCATTTTCGAATCAGCGTTTTGCTCCCATCGTTCGGAATGGCGCTGTTGTTCCAGCGCGGGCCACTTTTCTGGATCCGAGTCTTGCTTCATTGCCGTCGCCCCCCTCGTTTCCCATCCTTCGCCTGCTCCTGGTCTTCATGGTCCTCCCGACTATTCGGGCTTAATTCCTGCTGCTGCTGTTCGTCCTCGTCCTACTCCTCCCGTTCATCCTCCTGCTCACCCGCCACCTCCTCCTGTGCACGCAGCTCGCCGTTTTTGGTTGGGCATAAGACTACGTGGCCTTTTTGTTCGAGTTTCAGGTCGGCTATGACACGCGTAAACGGATAGAGCAAGTATCAGCGCCTTGGAAAGGGATGGGAGGGAGGGATAGGGTTTCAGATGAGGCTCGAGCGCACCTAGCTAGGTTTCCCCCCTCGCCCTTTTCCCCTGTGCAGTTCTTCCTCTGCCCCCCATCCTTCCCCGAGAGACCGACCCCGATATCTCGTCTCCCGACAGCCAGTCCCCGGCCCGATGATTCGTCGGTCGTTGATGGCAGATTCCAGTTTTATTGCAATCTCCTTCAAGTATTGAGTGGCCATTCGTTTCCATGCTCCCTGGCGGGACGGGGCCGAATCTACTTCAAACGCATGTTGTGGGTTACTACCTGCTTCTTTCGACCGACGTGTGCTCTCCGGCTTACCAAAGTACTCGCCAGGAGCCGCGGCTCGAGTTGCTGACTAACGCCACCAACGCCGCGGCGCCGCTCGCGGTCTGACCCCCCCCCAGCCTGCCGTTAGGAAGATGGACGAAGATGGAGCACAAGGGAGAGGAGGAGGAGGAGGAGGAGCAGGAAGGAGAGGAGAGGAGAAGAACAGTAGAGAGGAGTCAGCATGAGGAAAGAGGATATGGGGGAGAGGGGGCAAAGCAGGAGAATAACAAAGTAAGGTGCGGAGGATGAGGACTTGTGTTGAGGAGCAGCAGCAGGGAGGGGAGGACGGATGAGAAGCGACGAGGAGGAGAAGCGACGAGGAAGGAGTGAGGATAGGGAACCTACTCCTGAAGGAGGCTCGGCAAAGGCGAGAGGTAGCGAACGTTTGTCCGCGGCCGTTTGTGCTCAAGCGGCCGGCCGCCAACATATGACTGCGCCTCATCGCGAGGCGCACGATCTGCCATTGAGACCGAAAACGTGTTCGCTTGACATGGCTCGTCGCTCCCGGGACTCCTCTCCTGCTCTTGGGACGATCGTTGATACGGTATAACAGAGCTGGATATGGGCTTCGCCTTGGGCGAAGCATATGGTTGGGCCTCCCGACCCCGCTCAAGCTTGGTAGCGGAGCTGTCCTGTGGAGGACAGCTAGCGCTCTACTCCTCACCATCCACGGCACTACTTGGTGGACTATTGACGTGGTGGGACATCAGTGCAGTGGCGCTGCGCTGAGGAATGCGTATACATACTCACGATTGTAAGGACATTTGCAGTGTTGCCTCTGTTCACCCGGGGGCTTCCTACTTGAGTCCCACCCCTCTGCGCGACTTCGCTCCTGGAGTCCACCCACCCACTCCACTTGGTGATTTTCTTATGAAGATACGATGCATAGCAACATGCGGTACGACATTGTGCCGCCTCCACCCCCACGCAATCTGACGGCAACGCCGCCTCACAAACAACAACCGCAAACAACCGGCTACGACCTACGAGGCTAATGGTGTTACCATATTGGGCCTTTTTTGGGTCGCTATCGGATGCGCTGTTGGACTCCTGCAGCGTGGTGGCGTGGTGGAGACGACGATTACCACTGGCCCCCACCGGGACCCTGCCGGTAACGTACCTTTTCGCGAATTCGCTCGCGAGGCACATGCCTGTATCAACGTGACCACAGGCACCATGACCCTTTCCTTCCCAACAGGCTGCAGCTTGACAGAGAGGTCTGGGAGGGTTCGCAAGGACCATGGCCATGAGAGTTCCCCCCGCAGTATTTTGTTTTGTGTTAGTATCGGTGGTCGCCAAACCGATGGCGCCATCTTGATCATGTTCCCCTCAGCAGTAAATTCGAAAACCTGGAAGAGGAACGCCAACTCATCGCGGGGACAGCTCTCATCGACTTTCGCGTCCATGCGGGAGAACGGATCGACCGGGCTCTGGCCCGCTTCGAGATAGCACGCTGCGAAGCCGGCACCGCAGGTTTTAAGATCCCAAACTTCCAGATGTTGTCAATCACATTGTTAAGAGCCCTAGGTGTTGGCACGTCGCGTGCGCAGCAAACACTACAACCACTGTGGCACCAAAGGCCGTGGACCCAGCAGCAGTTTGACGCCGTACCAGAGCGCATGAGAGCTCGCGCCCGTATTGCTGAGCGAACCTTTTGCAACATTGGTGGTGTATTTGGCCATGGCCACCGCGCTGACTTCTTTCATACCGACAGTCAGGCAGGGCAACCTGCCAACAACGCGCGGAATGACGATCCACAACCAACCGAGGCCACCATTTGATTAAGCCAACAGGGCTGGGGGTCGCAAGACCCCTGGGCTTGATATCAGGGGCCGTCGGCAAAGGCAGCCCCTGCCCAAGACATTCCCCTCGTAGGCTCGGCGGGGCAAGCCGCTGAGTCCGAATTTAATTCCAGCGCCGACTCTAACACCTCATCAGATGAGGGGAATGGTAACCTGGATTGCTCCGACACGCGTGCGTATCTCACTGAAGAGCGGCAGGCGCAGTGGCTATTCTCAGGATACCAGACGCAAGCGCCGAAGGAGACGATGTATGAAGAAACCAATTCGACAGGTGCGACGCGCCGTCCGACGGGCGCCCAGGTCAAAGGGTAAGGGTTGAGGCAAAGGTAAACAACTGAAACTACATGGCAGAGGTATGTTAGCATTCTTGGTATCCCTTACTGGACCACAATATGGAGAAATATTCCTGGGGGCAGATGCCGCGGGCGCACCTCGGGAAAGGGCGACGGACGTCGGGGCAGCCCGAAAGATGCCAACGGGAATCCCATGGAACGTGATATCTGCCATCGCACCCAACATTTTCTTCGCGAGTACCCAAACAGCGATGGTGGGGGGGGGGGGCAGGGGTCCGTCGATGCATTTGGCACAATCCGACTCCGACGTTCAGCGCATCGGTTGGGGGCCTCTTCGCGCCGAGTCCGAGGGTGGCCCCACGGCTGCTGCCCATCTCATGCCCGCAAGGTGCGCCGACGAGCTCTTCGGGGAGATCTACGTTGGCCACGATGAGATTGTCCTTGCAGACTGGCTAAGCGTTCCTATCGCGGGGCAACCTGCACATGTAGAGTTCACGGAGGACTACGACATGCCCGCCGACTCGGAACACGAGATGGCGGGGGCGCCTGCAGATTCCGATGTCCTCATCCCAGCTACGGAGGAGGAGCTCAAATTGGCGCCCCGACAGCAGGCGATCGAGAACCCTGCGCGCAGGGAAACCGGCGACGGCGATGCATTGCGGGGCAACCCGCGTGACGCAGGCCACCTTTCTGAGCGCATTCAAGACGAGCTCGGACACGACCGGCCCCCGAGCCGCCCGGCTCGGAAAACGCGCGCGTCGAATTGATGACGACGAAGAAGGCTGGGAAGCCGAGAGCCACCCGCCATGCCACCATGGGCGGAGTCATTCGCGCAGGCACCTGCGCGCCCGCTCTAGCGGCGCGCAGCGCCCGCGCCCGCGCGATCAGAGAAATTCGCTTAGAAGGGAGCGTTCGCGGGGAAGGCCGCGTCGGGGCAACGAACGCCCGGGCGAACCCGATGGCCCTCGTCAACTCAGACTTGTCAGCGAACGGAGCGACGGGCTTGCCCGCCAATATACCAAGGGAAGACATGAAGCACTGGCTGAACACAGGGTGCACCGAGCACTGGCTGAACAACGGGTACACAGGCGCACTGAACGCGGGGTGCACCGCTCAATGCGAAGCGGGATGACCGAGCAAAACTCGCCCGCGCCAATTGAAGAGGCGGCACTAGGACCGCGGCCACTTTGGAAAGGAAGGACGCAAAAAAAAGAGCCACCATTGCGGATCGGAAACAGCATCGAGAAAAAAAGGCGTGTGAATGCGAAAATTCTGCGGACCATAGACCAAATTGCCCGATGGGCCGATGGGGCACCCTTCAAGGAGCCCCAATTTCGCGCGGACTCCGCGGGTCTGGCCCCGCGGGGGTGGCCCAGGGCGCAGGGCGGGCCCGACCGGCAATCCTAGCGGAGCACTCCTGACCAAGGGCACCTATGAGCCGCTAGACGATCATGAGGCACAACGCGCCGAGCAAGAATGGGGGGAGCTCGATGCGAACCACCGACTTAAGCGGCGCAGACCGCGCGCCAAGCACACGCGGACTTTTCTGCGGGGCAACCCCCTTCTTCCTCCCACGAAGGCGCTGGCAAGCCCGAGGCTGATAAAAAAAGGTTGCCTCTGGCCTCGCGCCAGCTGTTGATCCCCCTGCGCCTCCGTCTGGATCGGAATATTCACATAAGTCCTACAATGGCGAAACCACTGTTCCGAATTTGGTTATCGCTGATCCAGCAGCGGAGGACATGGCCCTGAAACCACGTGCGATGGTGGCGTATTATTGCAGAAGTATTTGGCGGGGCACTCCCAAGGTGCGAGGCAAGCTGCTCGATGGAAGACACAAGCTGGATTGTAAAAGCAAGGCGAATATTAACGACATGGCACTTTACAAACCTACGAAGAAGCCTTCGCCAGACCGATCCCCCCAGGGGCGCGGGGAAACCCGCTGAGTCTTTTAGCGCGGGAAAAACTCGGTGAGAAAGCAGACGGGCCCCCGAAGCCCCCGAAGTTCTGAGAAGAAGCGAACGGAGAAGGAAACTGATCTATCTCCATCATTGAGTATTCCTAGGCCACCTCATCCAAGGCCACCTAGATCGAAGAAGAGGACCGGCTCGGTAGAGGCCGACCCTGGGGGGCAAGAAAGCGCACAGGTCAGCGGGGAAACCCGCCCGTGGACCATGCTCCAGGGGGCCAGCCGCGGCGGCCGCAGCGGCTCCAGGGCGGCAGCGCTGCAGCCGAAGGAACCCGCTACACGGCGCGGCCCCGCGCTTGGCAGGGCTTGCCAGGGAGCTGGCCGCGCGCCATCGTTGGGCGGCGCATCCAGGCCCCATGCCTCGCAGCCTGACGCGGAAGGGGCGACGCCCCAGACCGCGCCCAAGGCGCTGGGGGCAGCTCCGAAGGTGAGCGGGCGCCGGTAGTTTGCTATCCGCGAAAAGTATAGTAACCCATGCGGAAGTGCAAAACCATCCACAGCGCCCGCTGCTGCTCCGGCTTCCGCGGGGACATCCGCTGCATCGGCGTTGGCGGGGCAATTTGCCATTATCCCTGAGATAAATGAGGGAAGCAGGCGCTACTGGGAAACACTGGGCACGCCCCAACTGGCGATGGTTAACCCAGCATGCAGGGCCAATGCCGACGATGGCTCGATCTGATGCGGGGCAGTGCAGTTCCCAACCGCGCGCACAGCGACATGCGTGACAGAGAGAGCCATCGAATGTCAGCGTGCCCGCAATCATTTCGCGGCAAGAGCCTGCCCGCTGCTACAGCACTGAGACTGAATACCTGTCGAGGGCGCAATGCCATGCGAACGTGAACGCGGCGCAACCGAAAAATAATAAAGACCAACGCAAATTCTCGGGGTGGCTCAGTACAGCCTCTCGGCAAAAGCATGTACATATATGATATCTCGCTTCGGTTTACGGAATGCGTTACCTCATTCGACCCGTTCGACGGCCGGGCGTGTTTCAGTGAT